AGTACAGAGCAGCTTCCCTCCATGCAGTGACTCAGTGACCCGGGCACCCCCCATCTCATAGTTCCTCATCTCACCACCTGGCCAAGGCAAGGGAAGAGAATTGGAGAATTGCAGGTTTTCTGGGTGGTCTGCAGAGGGTGAAATCAATCCCCACCCAAAATTGGTTTGGATATTGAGACTGAAGATGCCGCACATGCCAAGAACATACGAAAGGCTTATGAATCCCATGATGGAACTTTCCAGGGAGAACAGGGCAGGTCCTAGGAGGTGCGAGTGGCAAAAGTTGAAGGGACATGTGGCTTTGACTCTCACTGTGGCTAGGAGGTGAGGCCAGGCTGAGGTTCTCGTGAGTAGCCTGGAGTTTGTGTGGCTTGTGTGGTTTGAACTTCCCACCAGTGCCAACGGAGGGAGCGTGTGGTTTTCTCGTGGGTTTGCCTGGATGGGGCAAAGGGGAGTGGTGGGGCCTGAAAGTGTCACGGGTCAAACATCGAAAATGGAGTCTTTGTTGTTACATCGCACTTGCTCTTCTTTGCTTCAGCCCAGAAGTTACGCACATCACTTCCACCTGCTGGCCAGAAATATTCACGCTTGCCCAATCTTCCTGCAGAAAGACGGTCAGCCCTTCTGGTGCCCAGGAAGAAGAAAAGGAAATGAGACCTGGCGAATCTGCAGCCTCTGCCTGGGGGGGCGGCGAGAAGGAAGCTAAAGGGATGGAGACCTCACCTCAGAAACAGGCTTCTGCGGGAGGGGCTGAGAGTCCCTTTGGGCAGAAATAAGGCTCATCAGAATAGGGGGGAAAGGTTTGGTTCAGGTGGCCTGGAACTTTTGTCTTTTCTTTTTTGTTTGTTTTATTGGTACATAATAATTATACATATCAAGCTTTTGCTTTTTCAACTTCGAGACCATTCCACATCTCTACACCTCCAGGAACATTTGCATGCGCAGCTGCAGAAAAACATGCCGCGGCTGAATCTGCGTAGTACCAAACAAACCGAAACATATATTTATTACTACAGCAAGAAAGGGGGATGCTGAAAAGCTTCCCATCTTCGAGGGACAGAATCAGTCAGGACTTACTTGGTTGCAAGTCACAGGAACTCAACCCGAACTGGTTGAGGAAAAATGTGAATTTACTGGCTTACGTAACTTAAAAGTTCAGGCGTAGAGCTATCTGGCGTAAGGCACAGCTTGTTCCAGGAGTTAAAAGAAAGACACTATAACCTGGCCCTGTTCTCCTCTGCGTTAGCTTCATTCTGAGTCCACATGGTAATAAGACGGCTGCCAATAACCACACATCCATGTTCTCCCATGGTCAAGTCCAGCTCCTGTACAAATCCTAGGCTTCAATCTGATTGGACAAACTGGGTCATGTGCCCCTCCAAACCTATCGTTAAGATCAGAGCGACAGAATGACTACCCACTGAATCAGTCTTTGTGTCTGGAGGAGCTGGAGCTCTGATGTGAATAGAGCTCTACTCAGCCTCATGGACGGGAAATGGAAGGGGGTGGTTTCCCTCCAGGAAATTCAGGGTTACCAAGACAAAGGGAGCAGTGGATCTTTGGCACGCAAAATCCATAAATGACATGGCGAATGGGAATTTTAAACGGACTAACCATTATGTCTAATTTAAAGCAATGTAAAGTGTCATTGGCACAACTTTGTGAACTAAAATAACACCTTAAGCCCCCCCAGCTGACTGAATGGACCCCCTCCTGGCCAAGGGGACTCCAGAAATCCCCTAAAGCTGAGTTGCTGGCCGTGAGAAGAGAGGTCCCACATGCCTGGACATGCCCCCATCCCTACCTGGCAATATCCTTTGTAACTCATTAAGAGGCCTAAGGCAGAGCTTAAACCACACCTGCAGGTCGTCAGTTTACTGAGCAGATCACTCGCATCTGGGTACACATCAGGTGACTTGTCTCTGATTAACAGGCTTCCTTATCTTAACTTAAAACATTCCAAGCCTTTAGACAAAGCTTCATTTTTTTTTAACAAATTACAAATTAAAGAATCTTTAAACCCACCATAACCTGTAATGCCCCACTTCAAGATGTCCTGCCTTTATGGGCCAAATCAATGTACGCCTTCCATGTATCGATTTATGACTTTACGTGTAATTCCTGTCTCTGAAATGTATGAAACCAAACTGCAACCCAACCGTGGTGAGACCACTTGCTCGAGGTTTCCTGGGCGGGGCTCTCTGGGCCATGGTCACACATATTCAGCTCAGAAAAAACCTCTTTAAATTATTTACAGAGCTTGGATTCTTTTCCCTTGACAACTTTTATTGTGTATCTAGTCTTTATTGTTTTTTAACTTTATAAAAGAGTACTTACAAGGCCT